TACATCAGCTTTGGGTAGGGCACTATGGTAGGTGCCTAAAGTTCCTGTTCTTTTTATTTTCTCTCCCCACCCCCCATGGGATCCTATGATCTTGCTTGGCTTTGGCTTCCAGGACATCCCTCCGCCATGGCTAAGTCTTTCCTCTCTTCCTCCTTTTTCCTGCCCCTTTTGTGAGAAGTGGGTGAGAAAGGCAGGACCACACATACAGGCTACTGAAATAGCCCTCTATAATGCTGCTAAGAAATAATTCCATCTCCGAGAACCTCATGGGCTAGAGCCGAGTGAGCAAGGGCCACGGGAGGAAGAAGCATCATGAATCTAGGACACAGCTTCTTAACTTTTTGTGCTAAGGACCCCTCTGATATCTGGTGAAACCTATGGATGTCTCCTCAGAAGAATGTTTTTCAGTGCATAAAATACAAATATAGGATTCTACAGAAAACCAAACATTAGTGAAAATAACGATGTAATTTTATTCCCATCCAAGTTCATGGATCCCCTGAAATCTGTGGACTCAAGGTTAAGAATCCCTGATCTACAACTAGAAGGATCCTCAGAGGCCCTTATTTACAGATGGGGAAACTGAGGCTTAGAGAGGTTAAATGACTACCTCCAGCCCCCACAGTTAGTAAGTGTGGAACCCAGGTTCTATTCCACTGTACTATATTTACCCCCTCAAAGAAAGAGGACCAAAAAAAGAACTTCAAATGAGCTATATACACATATTCCCAGACTTATTTGGGAGGGGACAGAATATAAGCCATAGAGAGTACTGACTACTAAAAGCTTTGTGAGATGTGAGTTCAGAGCTGCTTAGGTCATGAGCTATACCAGAAAGCTCAGTAATCAATCACCGCCAAGTTGTTGTCCCTGGACACTCTCCTCAGGCTTACAAAAGTTATCCTCTACTTTGCCCTCCCCTTCTTTCTCCTTCTTATCTCCTCTTCACTGATTCAGTCACTATTGAAGTCATTCACAGAGAATAAAACTTGTCACTTGAAATAAATGAAAGACATTTGCAGAATCTGCTATACCATCACTTACAATAAAGGGTGGGCTTAGATGGCTTTTGAGACAGAAACTAGGTTTCAGACTTATTTTTCCTGCTCTCAAAACATACGTGCCACCATTATACACCAAGTGGAATTTGAAGAGGAGATGCCCAGAAATGAAGCCAGCCCTCAAATGGCACCTCAGTTCCTGAAGAGTGTCATCTCTATGATGGGATGAACTTAGGTGAGGCTCCCACATGAGGTGCTCTGAGATGGGGAAGAATGTCTTGGAGTCATACATGTAGAAATGCTGAAACAGAAAGGGACTTCAGAAGCCAACTAGAATAACCACTGCCAATTTACAGATGAGGAAACTGAGGCAGAGAAAGTGATTTAGTCAATGGTGTGTAACTAGTTAGTAGCAGAGCTGGAATGAGAACCAGAGGGTACGGACCCTGTATTGGACTGTCTGCTTCAGCACCATTCTGCCTGTAAGGATGAATGTCAAAGAATCTCTACAAATATTTATTGTGTGCCTCTTGTAGTAGCCTAGAGGTGCTTAACCTGGGGTCCAAGATCTTAAAAAAATTTGGTAACTGTATTTCAATATAATTGTTTTCTTGTGTAATTTTGGGTATTTCATTTTATTCATTTAAAACATTATTTGGAAAAGAATCTATAGTCTTCAGGGACCGTGAGAGGGGTCCATGACACCACAAACATTGAGTCCTTGTTTTAGACAATATAGCCCACTTCTCACCCCCCACACACACACTTTGGTTTAGCTTTCCTTCCATGCCTCTACGGAGTCTCTTTCTACTGTTCATGCATGTGCCCTCCCTCCTCTTCTCGGTGCTCCCAAGTGCATCCAACGTTTTCCTGTCCTTTCTACTCTCTGTTACAATCTGCCATCCAGAAAATAGCTGAATAAGTTAATTCAGGCCATAATATAAAGCAGATCTATATTTGGAAGAGAAATTAGGGAACATCTCATCTAATGCCCCCCACTCATTCTACAGATGAAGAAGCTGAGGTTGAACTACTTGTCCAAGGTCACCCAGGTAGAAAGCAGCAGCAGCAGAATTTAAACTCAGCGTCTCTGCCTACAGACAGAGCATTGCCTCTCAGGGGTATCACTCCCTTCCTTCCACAATGAGCTCTTTGCAGGTGAGATCCAAGGCTTTCTCTCTAGCCTTAACTTCCCTCCTATGTTCCCTGTTGCTATTTCCTACTGCCTTCTGGGCATTTCTGTCTTTTTTTTTTTTTTGCAGTTGGGGTTAAGTGACTTGCCCAGGGTCACACAGCTCTTAAGTTTCAAGTGTTGGTCTGAGGTCGCATTTGAACTCAGGTCTTCCTGACTCCAGGGTCAGTGCTCTATCCACCGAGCCACCTAGCTGCCCCTAGTGGGCATTTCTATAAGGATGTTCCACTCTCCCTTCAAACTCTACAAAAGACAAGCACATTATCCCCCCCCATCTGCCCCCACTTCAACTTTGTCTCCTGACTGTCCTATTTTTTTGTTACTTCATTTTTCTGTCATCTAGATTCCAGACTTCAATCCTCTCCCATAAGAGAATCACTTTTGTGGATTCATATGGGCACAAATATTATTGTCAGAAGGAATCTAGGTGAAAAATGGCGAGGATTGTGAAGACTTGAGGGCAAAAATGAAGGCTTTAGGAGAAGTATACACAGTGTTTTATCACTGTGCTTGACCCAAGGCTGAGGGCCTAAGAAAGGAGAGGCAGATTTGAAAAATGATAAGCTTATTAAGAACATGGTATCTGAGAATGAGATTTGGATTTCTGGATTGAGGCTTAAAATATAGGAATGATAGACTTTCAATGAAGTATGGAGCATATCTTATACATGAATATCTATATTTATATATGCATATATATCTATGAGGGTGTGTATATATATATGTACATGCATATATGTGTGTATATTTATACACACATATATATATGTATACACACATACATATATATGTATATATCTTTAGTTCATGGGTGGGTATGTAATGGTAGAGTCTTTCCAATTTAATTAAAAGAGCTTTCAGCTCAAAAGAATCAGGAGAGAAAACCTCTACAAAATATAGCCACAAAGCTAGGGACTAAAGAGTGACTACAATGTAAGAAGGCTAGCAATATCGAGATAGAAATGTCCAGAAATTCATTGATGGCAAAATCTGAAAAAGGGGCCAGCAAGCAAACCCATGGCATCAGACGTCTGTGCACAAAGGTAGAAAGGCGGTGACCAGGGAAATGAATGAGAAATCCTAAAGACCTGGAGGCAACACTGACTTCTCTAATCTTACTGCCCTGGTCCTTGGTGGGATGAGACCCAGAGCTGGAACATAGCTCAAGCACACGCTCATCGCTTAGGTGAAGGGGAGTGGGGACGGGCTAGCATTTTACTTTAAAGGGGATAATCTCCTAAGAAATCCAGGAAGCACAGCAAGAAGGAGGGAGGAGACACATGGCTAAGGATGATTGAAATAGATGTGGTATTGCCACAGAGTTAAGGAGAGATCACCTGGGAAGAAAGAGGAAGTAGATGAAGAGCTTGAGAAACTGATCACAAGCAAGGATGCACGGTCACCCCCTCCTCACTTCTGCCTTTCTTCAGGCACGGCTTAAGCACCACCTAATTACCTTCCCAACTCCCTAGTGTTCCACCCCAAGCTACCTTGTATTTAACTACTTTGTATATATTTGTATTTGTTCATGTTCTATTTACTGTATATCATGAATATATATCACTTTGTATGTATTTGTATAAGAATACAAATGTATACAAAATGGCTAACTATATGCACGTTTATCTATGTATATACACGTAAATATACCATTACCATGTAATACATAATAATTTTATCGATCACTATACAACATATAGTAAATATTAACATATAAACAAAATATAACATATTATTATTACTTAAGTGATCACTCATCTTTGTGTTTGTGGTTGAAAGGAAGAGAAAAGTCAGATATAGCTGGTGTGTACTTTAGATTTCAAAGGACTGAACAAAAGAGTTGGTAAGATTCCCCTGGACTAAAATGAGTGGTGTTTAGGGGGCCAAATTTGCCTTCTTTATTGATGATCTCCCATTAACCTGGCTTGTTACCCCTGCTTTATGTCAGCATAGAAGGAGGTCTCCAGCAGACTGGTCTTGCGCTATTAAACATTTTTATCAATGGCTTGGTTTAAAATGTAGATGTAATCTTTATGTAAATTGCAGCTAGCATGAAACTAGGAGGAATAGCAAACGATTTCAATAGCAGTCCAATTTCAAAAAAAACTCTTGACAGGCTGAATTTAATATGTTGAAATGTAATAGAGATAAATATGAAGTCTTTCATTCAAATTCCAAAAATGGACTTACAAAGTACAAGATGGGGTAGTGATCCATCATCAGACAGCAGTTTATTTTAAAAGATTGGGATGAGGAGTGGGTGGGAAGAGGTTAATGGACTGCAAGCCCCATGTGTCAAAAAAAAAAAAGCTAATGCTGCCTTTAGGAAGTCTAGCTTTCAGCTATAAGGACATGGTTATCCTTACTCCACCATGGTCAGATCCCATATATGGAGCATTATATTAGTTCTGGCCACTACATTTTAGGGAGTACACTGATAAGCGAGAGATGATCCTGATTGCCTCCTACCATTTATGCACCAGTTACAGACCTACGAAGGCAAGAGGGCAGGAGCAATGAGGGGCCATGGACATTTCAAAGAAGCAAATTTGGACTTGGTTCCTAATTATCCTGAAGTGGCGTAGGCTGTCCTTGAAGGGAGGCCATCCCATTTCTCAAGGTCATGATCAAAGGCAGCACAGCCTTTGATGTACCCTGGGTACATCAGGGATGTCATAGAGGACACTTTTTTAGGTGTGGGTTGGATCAAGTGGCCTCTGAACTTCCAATTTTAAGATTCCGTGACTCTTGAATTCATCAGATCCTCCCCTTGCCTGAAGTGTAGATAAGTTAAGTGGCTAGCCTACCTGCATGAGCCGGGTTGCTTTGTAGTGTCAGTTACCATTCTTCATTTTCTTTCTTTCTCAATCAACTAACATTGAAGTGCTTCTGTTGCTTTCAGATTGTTTTAGCATAGTTCTGAGCGCTGCTGGTTAACAGATGTCAGTGCCTTTTTTTGTTCAAGCCAGAGGAATGAAGCTCTAATTTGGAGATTTTGAGCACCAGAAAACTAACTGCAGAGGTTATGACTTTGGGCTGGAAATCCTTGAGAATCAGAGATTGATGGGCATCAGCCTTGTTCTCAGGTCACTGTCATTATCCTCCATCTCCTGTTCTTCTCATCCTCCCCCTGCCCCAGTTTGGCCCCACCCAGCCGACCCTGAACAATTAAAGGGCATAGCTTCCCAGAGGCTGAATAGCTTCCCAGTCCTAATGGATGCCACTGTACTAGATTGAACAGCATCCTCGGCCAGCCAATTCTGGGCCCCTGCCTACAGCTATGAGCAAACTCAACAGAAGGTCCCTGCAGTGAATCAAGCAGATTAATTTGGGGCATAGAAATAGAGAGAGACACAATTAAACTCCCTCTGAGTTAAGAAAACATCTTCAAAAGAACCCAGCAGTTGAAAAAAAAATCCCTTGTTGGAAGCTTAAACACAAATAAAGTATAAGGAGAAACCTGGCTGTAAAGAATTCTAAGGGATGAAAGCCTGCTTCTAATAGGTTTTCATTAAACACTGAAGCCAATGGCCAGTTGGCAAAATTCTTAAGTGGGTAGAGCTGTCTCCAGGCTTCCTCTTTCCCCACCCCCAATCAAATTCCCCTGGCTTATTGCTTCCCTCATTCAATTGCTCCTATCTCCTACCTCAAGGAACATAGTGACTCACTCTGATGTACAGAGACATTTCTAGGGTAGCAAGTCAATGCTCTTCATTTTGTAAATAAGAAAGAATCTAAGAGAAATGAAATGATTTGCTTAAGGTCATACAAATATGAACCCAGGAACAGAAACCAGGTCTGCTAACCCCTGCTCTATTTCCCTTCCAAAGACATCCTTGACTTTGTGCTATTTGGATGTCTTTTAATCTTCCCCCTCCCGTTTTCCTCATCTACACTCTTCCCTTCCCCTGACCAGGGCTGCCCTTGAACTGGTCATAGTTGCCGTTCTCCCTTATTTATTCCATTTGCCTTCTCCAAGGGCCTCTCTGGACTTGGATGAGATAGAAATCGCTAACTCCATTCCTTCTGGTGGGGTGGAGGACCACCACACCCGATCATCTTCCCTGATAACTACCTCCTAGACTCCTCCTGGCCTCACCATCTCCCCTGCCTCTGTGCCCTGCAGACCTTTGGCATTGCCATCTGTACTGCTGATATTATAAAAATGCCTGGGCTTTGCCATATGCCCTGATGCTGACCCCTGAGGACTTCTGGACTGTTTCATCCACCCTGCAGATGAACTCTCTTTTATATAAATCCTGTATGTGCCTAGTCATTTCCGTGTTGTCTCCTATACTAGAACATACACTTCCTGAGCACAGGGATCAGGGTATCTTTGCTTTTTTTTAAAATCCCAAGCATTTAGCTCGGTGCCTGGCACATGCCAAGCTCTTAATAAATGTGTGGTGGTTAATCAGTTGATACTACAGGACAGATGGGTAGCTGTTTCAGAAAGGAAAAGTTAATGTAAGAGAAAGTCTCGTAACAATGGCCAGAAGAGGAATGACTAGAACATTGATTGCCTCAGATGGGGGAGGGGTAGAAACTGTTTCCTAGTGGGAGACAGGGTCAACTACTAAGGGAAATTGGTGTCAGGCTCTCTACCGCATCTCCCGGTCATGCTGTCTGCTGTTCATAGCTCCGATCCCCCTGCCAGAGCCCCCGGTGCTCCCAAGGAGACAGAGGGAAGTAGTGAAAAGAATATCGTACCTGGAGTCCAAGAATCATGGAACCTCAGAGTTGGGAGTGACCTCATAAGCCACCTATTCCAACTGGAACCTAACTTCAGATTCCCTTCACGATGCCTCTAGTAAGTTCTCATTCAGTATCTTCTCAAAGGCTTTGAATGAGGGGAAACCCAGTACTTCCCAAGGCAGCCCGTGCCATTTTGGGATAACTCACATTGTAAAGAAGTTTTTTTTCCTTGTGCCAAGCTTAAATCTGTGCTGCATCTTCCATCCTTTGTTCCTAAATCAGGTTCTGAGTTCAGATTTTACCATGGTCACTCTCTGTGTAATTTTAGCTAAGTCACTTAAGTGCTCCAAGACTCAGTTTCTTCACCTATACAATGGGGAGAATATGCTCTGTAGTCTTAACCTCACAGGATGGTTGGGATGATCATTCGGGTCATACATTGACCTGAAAGCACTACTCAGGAGAGCAGAGGAGGAAAGAAGAGAGTTCCAGGTGGCAGCTAGGTGGCGCAGTGGATAGAGCACTGGCCCTGGATTCAGGAGGACCTGAGTTCAAATCCTGCCTCAGACACATAATACTTAGGAGCTGTGTGACCCCAGGCAAGTCACTTAACCCCATTGCCTAGCCAAAAAAAAAGAGAGTTCCACTCCCTATGCCCTCAAGTTACGTGTGAAATTCCTTTTAAAAATAATGTCCTCGTGGTAGCCCGATCAGAATACCACAAGTGAATCATTCCAATTGAGCCCAACTGCTCCTGCCATATTGACCTTTAATAGAATAATCAAAGATTAGTCAATCAACTAAACGCTTCTTAAAGGCCAGGCCCTGGATGTATAGAGCTAGAAGCTCCAGCTTTGAATCACAGTTCTCCTTCTTACTAACTGTGATCTTGGACAATTACTTGACATCTCTGAATCTCTGTTTCTTTGTCTATATAATATTTGCACTACTTTTTGGGTGGTTGGAACAATCCAAACGGAAGGATCCAGGGAAATGAGATTTAGAGGTAAAGGTGGCCTGATGGATAGAGTACTTCACTGGGAGTCAGCCCAGTCGGTCCTCAGCCCCTAGATCCCTGGGACTGAACAATCCTTCTTCAGCAGAGTCCAGGGACACCCTGTTGCTCAAGGCCATGGTGCTCTTTCCTCACCTCCATGTCTCCAAAGTTAGCTAGATAAAGCCAGATTTTTCCAATGACAGTTGAGACCACTAGATCAAAAGATAACTGCAGAGAAGGCAGGCCAATGTTGTCCTTCCTGTTGTTGACAGACAGGAAGATAATTAAATAGATAATTACAGTACAAAGTGACTTGTGGGCAGAAGCAGGGTGGCACTAATGAGAGGGGCAGATTGACATCCCTGAGAAATGAAAGCCTAGCCTAGCTTTAAGGAAAAGGTCACTTTCATTTCTGATTGCATATTCAGGCATCATCAGCCCTCCTGGCCCTGGCTTTTTTTCCTTGTTTGTTTCTTTATATCCCAGGGAAAAGTCCAGTGCTTGGCATATAGTAGGTACTTAACAAATATGTTACCTTAGAATATTAGTCTCTAGCCCTACTTTGAACAGAAAAGGAAAACTGATCTCAACAATGAATAAAACTGGCCTAAGGAGAAGGAACAGAAACTTGGGAGAGAGCAGTGCCAGACTTTCATCCAGCCTCTGACCTTTTCCTGCCATGTGACCTGGGTATAGTTCTTGGTCTCTCTGTGCCTCATTTCCCCTTGGAGTTAATAACACTGACCTACCTAATATTTCAGTTTAATTTAATAAAAATCTCCTAATCCCAGATCTCCCAGCTTCTGGGGCAAGAACTCATTATTTGACAAAATACTGAGAAAACTGCTAAGTGGTCTAGCAGAAACTAAGCATGAATCAATATCTTACGTCATATACCAAGAACAGCTCAAAATGGATCTATGGTTTAGACATGAAGGACGGTATAAGCAAATTAGTAGCGCAGGGAAGAAATTACCTGTCACATCTATGGGTAGTGGAAGAGGTTATGAGCAAAGAAGGCATAAAGAAGTTTCATGGGGGGCAAAACAGATAATTTTGATTACATAAAATTTAAACATTTTTACACTGAAAAACCAATGCAGCTAGAAATTAGAAGAAAAGCAGCAAGCAGAAGGAAAATCCTTGCAGCAAGTTTCTCTGATAAAGAAAGTCTCTCATTTTTAATATATGTAGAACTGAGTCAATTTACAAGAATAAGAGTCATTCTGCAATTAATACATGGTGTGAGGATATGAATAGGTGGTTTTCAGGGGGCAGAAATAAAAGCTGGCAAGAACCATATTTTTAAAAATGCTTTAAGTCACTAATAATTAGAGAAATACTAATTAAAATCACTCCAAAGTACTATTTTATACCCATAAGATTGGAGGAAATGTGGGAAAACAGATACATTAATTCCTTGTTTGGGTAGCCAGGTGGCACAGTGGATAGAGCACCAGGTTTGGAGTCAGGAAGACGAGTTCAAATCCAGCCTCAGACACTTACTAGTTGTGCAACCCTGGGCAAGTCATTTTACCTCATTTGCCTCTGTTTCCTCTTCTGTAAAATAAGCTGGAGAAGGAAATGGCAAACTGCACTAGTATCTTTGTCCCAAATGGGGTTACAGGATCAGACACAACTGAAATGGCTGAACAGCAAAAATGCATTGTTGAGGCAATTTGGAACTAACAGCCCCAAAAGCTATTAAACTGTGCATACCCTTTGACCCATCAATACCTACCATAGGGCTAATACCCCCAAGGAGATCAAAAAAAGAGGATAAAGGACCCATATGTGCAAAATATTTACAGCAGCTCTTTCTGTGGTGGCAAAGAACTAGAAAATGAGGGGATCCCTCTCAGTTGGGGGATGGACAAAGAAGTTATGGTGTATGAATGTAATAAAACATTATTGCGCTGTAAGAAAAAAATGTGCATTATTTCAGAAAAACCTGCACAGACTTGTATGAGCTGATGCAAAATGAAGTGAGCAGAACCAGAACACTCCATATAGTAACAACAAATTTCTAAAGATAACCAATTTTGAAAGACTTAGTAACTCTGATTAACACAATGACCTATCACAATTCCAAAGGATTCTCCATGAAACATGCTGTTTACCTATAGATAGGGAAATGATGGACTCAGACTGAAGTTGGAAGTATATTTTTTCTTCTTTGTTTCTATTTTGTAGATGTATTTTTAACATGGCTAATATGAAGATTTGTTTTGCTGACTAAACATTTGTAATAGGTTTTGTTTTTCTTATTCTTCTTGGGTAGAAGAATTGTAAAGGGAAGGAGAGAAATTGTAATAGAACAAAAGAATTAAAAAGTCTATGTTTTAAAAATACGAATAAGAAAATCTTATTTAAAATATTATTAAGTGACTACTAAGTTTTAGGCACAGCACCAAACACGGCACTAGACATCAGCACTACAAAGATAGTTAAACAGTTTCTGCCCTCAAGGAGCTTACAGTCAAAGGGAAGGAAAGAATATATGCACAGGTAACGAGAGCAGCAACAGTAATAATGGTGGTGATGATGATGATGGTGATGATGGTGATGATGATGATGATGATGATGACAATGACGATGATGAATTAAGATGTATTACTATATGCGAAGCATTGTGCTAAGCCCTGGAGTTACAAACAGAAAAATAAGGCAGGCTCTGCTCTCAAGTAGCTCACATTAAAAGGGGAGACAACACGTATGGAAGGTTCCAGTCCTAAGTCAGATGTAAAGGTCCCAAGGTCCTTAGGGTGCAGCAGCAAAGCAGATGGTAAAGGCTCTTCTTTAATGCCTGATAAAATAAAATCAGACTCTGATCTTGAGCCACTTGACACTGGGTTGGAAACAGCATTATTTCAAAGGCTTTTGGGCTCAGGGTCCCAGGCTATCCCTGTTTCCTGTTTGAGGAAAAAGGTGGTGGTGGTTTGATTTGCCTGGCATGTGCTGCCTCTCTTCTCTTTCTCTCCTTCTGGGTGCCCTGCTGCCTCAGTTTGCCTACTCTGTGAATGACTATTAGTTGGCCATTGGTGGAAGTGACTGGTCCTTTAACCTTAGGAACCACCTCACCTGATGATGGCTGTTTGGGCTAGGCTGGGAGTAGGACTGGGGTCTGGGTGGTGCTGCTACTCCCAGGGCTTTTGTGCCAAATCCACCCTTTTCAATTTGCAGGTGGGAAAACCGAGGTGCTGAGGTGAACACGACATCCATGAGCTCGTAGGCAAAGCCAGTCCTTTGTTGTTTTACAAGATTGTGGGATCCTGAATCAGAGAGAATGCTGAGTCTGACATTCTGATCATATGAGTCAGGAAACTGAGGCTCAGAGATGAATGTCACACAAGAAGTCAGGAATAAGAATAACTTACATTTACTAGAACCTCTATGTCAACGGAGTACTTTACATAAGGAGACCTTTTCCCCAATGTAGGGATCCACTCACAGGGAAGCAGGAAAAGGACCTGAGAACATGAATAGTGGGGGTGAAACAGATTATAGTATTTAAAGTATATACTATTTTTTTTTGGATAGAATAAAAGGAGTTTAAAAAAATCTAGAAAATGTTTCTTAAGCAGTTGAAAAGAGCATAGGAAGGAATGGGAATCCATATGATTCTTGCCTCAGCCTCATGGGGTATCTTGTATACTTTTTTTTTCTTTCTTTCTTTCTTTTTTTTTTTTTTTTTTGGCTAGGCAATGGGGTTAAGTGACTTGCCCAGGGTTACACAGCTAGTAACTGTCAAGTGTTTGGTCTGAGGCCGTATTTGAACTCAGGTCCTCCTGACTTCAGGGCCAGTGCTCTACTCACTGTACCACCTAGCTGCCCCCCTCATGGGGTATCTTTATCATTACCCCCATTTTACAGATGAGGCTTATGAAGGTGAGGCCTAGAGAATGTACATAACTTGCCCATGGCCACATAGCCAGCAAGTGTTAGAAATGGAATTTGAGCTTGTCTTCTTGACAGTAATTCCAATATTG